ATTTTAACATATTAACATTTGTGTGTAAAATATGTAACTTTAAGTGTTAAAATATGTAACTCACGTTCAGTCAAGTCAAATGCAACTCGTGTGTATAAATATGTATCTCTACGTGTAACAATATGTAACTTTACGTAAAAAAATATGTAACTCGCATTTAGACAGGTCACATGCAACTCGTGTGTATAAATATGTAACTCGCGTGTATAAATATGCAACTTTACGTGTAAAAATATGTAACTTTACGTGTAAATATATGTAAGTCGCGTTCAGACATGTCAAATGCAACTCGTGTGTATATATATATGTAACTCGCTTATAAAAAGATGTAACTTGTTTATAAAAAGATGTAACTCGCTTATAAAAGATGTAACTTGTTTATAAAAAGATGTAACTTGTTCATAAAAAGATGTAACTCAATGTATTATCAAATGTAACTGAGGCCACTGATCCACTCCCAAACAGATTCGATCTTCTATTTCACAAACATATCATCTCCCAAACAGATTCGATTTTTCTTATAATCCAATACTCATTAATATAATAGTTCGATAATTTCTTAAAATTACATACACAATATTGGTCTCATTTGAAAGATCATGAAAAATAAAAAATGTTGATGTAAATTTTATAAAAATCGAATCAAAAATAAAAAAGTTATTATCATTTTTAACATCAAAAGCAAAAAAAAAAAAAGAAGATAAAACTGCGTCGTTTTTGCAACTGGGCGCACCATATAATTTGCGATGACACTGGCGGTGACGAGCTGGATTAGGATAACAATGACGGAAAAACGGGGTTGGGGCAAACTTTGGATAACGGGCTGAATTGAAGACTTGAAGACTTGTTGCATGAGTTGGCAACTTTATTTCGTTTTCAGTTTTACTCTTAGCGTAGATCATTTTTTATGATTGTTTTGTTTTTAATTTCATTAATCAAGGCATTAGGATGCGCTTTACTTTCGTTGTGATGTTTTGAGGAGCAATCATTCTCTTTTGATTATTATAGGCTTCAAATACCTGAACAATGTTTAGCGAATTACACGATTAATTCTATGTCTAAACCCTAAAGCTGATGACCAAATTGGATATTCTATGAGTCTTTTATATACTCTCTCCGTCCCATTGGACTTTGCCAATTTTCTTTTTTTGTTGTCCCAAAAAACTTTGTCACTTTCCTATTAAAGAAACTAATTTGTGGTTCTGCACATTTATCTCTCCTCTGCACAAATCTCAACCACACAGTTTTTACTATTCTTATGTCTCACCTACTTTGCACTTGTCAAAGTACACCGGGACGGAGGTAGTATTAATTTAAGCCTTTTCTATTCAAAAAACAAAGAAGAAAAGAAAACAACATACGAATATACTTCATCCGTCCGTCCCTAAATAAAAGCATCTGTTTCCTTTTCGGACCGTCCCTAAATAAAAGTTTTTTTTTTTGGCAAACAAAACAGTGCAAAACAGTGTCCAAACAGTGACAAATAATACAACAAATCCCACTTTCTTAGAATGTGTGGAACAGGAGGGAGTACCATAGTATTTCGGACCTCCTCCGCACACCCCAAAATTTACTACGTGCACCCTCTTTTCATTTTTGTTGGACCATGTTATCCTCTTTCAAAATCGAACTCGATCACCGCAGGGCACCAAAGTACGTAGCGCACTAAAGTACGTAGCGCACTAAAGCACCATGTTATTGTTTTTTATTTTTATTTTTGTTGAAAATTATTGCTTTTTAAATTAAAAAAAATGATTTCTATATTTCCTTGAATTTTGTAATAACTTTATTTTTAAAAAATGATATATCTTTAAAAAAGTACTCAAAAACTGAATATAATCAAGTTTACGAATTTAAATCATCATTGAACAATTATTATATAAATATGGCTAAAGGGTCAAATAGGTTCTTGTACCCTTCCGGATTTCTCAATTTACCCCCTCAACCCAAAAAAGCTCCAATTGGCATCCTGAACTCGATGAAAATATTCAAATTTCACTTTTTGCAGGTTTCAATCCGGTCACCGCCACGTCACCCGGTAGGGTGCCAACTGTGCATGTGATGTGGCGTCGTGGCAATTTAGGGGGTCAAATAAGCCCCTGAACCCGATCGAATCGTTCAATTTACCTACTCAACCCTAAAGAATGTCTAAATTTTGAAAAAAATAAAATAAAATAAAATAATATATAATAAATAAAATTATAAATAAAATACACGTCTAAAATATAGTACTCCATATATATTAATATGAAATATTTATCATTCACGATAAATTCAAAACAAAATATAAACTAAAAAATATTCTAACTTTATTTCCACATTTTATAACTATATTTAATTTTTTACCAACTATATTTAAATTTTTATTTTATGTATTATATCTAATGTTTTGTAATATAACACAAATTTTAGGTTTTTGGTTTGATAATTTATACGAAGCATTATTTTTAAATTATCCATTTGTATTTTTTTCATTTCATATTTTTTAATATATTTAAAAATATACTAAAAAAATATACAATTTTTATGTAACTATTATTTTTCAAAGTTACTGATTACACTTTTCTATATTTGTAGTAACATAAAATTTACTCATATATAAGTATTAAAATCTAAAAATAGTAACTACATATTGATACTATTTATTATAAATATATTGAAGTCTTTTTTACGTATTATATACGGAGTATAAGAATTAATTTCTTTTAGTTTATATTTTATTTCTTTATGCATTTACCAAAAAAAATATAAAAATATTTATATTTTATATTTTGACTTTTTTTTCTTTTTTTTTTATTTTCTAATTTTCATTTTTATTTTTATTTTTCATAATTTTGACGTTTTTAAGGGTTGAGGGGGTAAATTGAACGTTTCGGTCTGGTTCGGGGGCTTATTTGACCCCCTAAGTTGTCACGTCACATTCACAGTTGGCACCCTACCGGGTGATGTGGCGATGACCGGCTTGTGACCTGCAAAAAGTAAAATTTGAATCTTTTTATTGAGTTCAGGGTGTCAATTGGAGCTTTTTTGTGTTCAGGGGACAAATTGAACAATCCGGAAAAGTACAAGGACCTATTTGACCCTTCAGCCTATAAATATTTGTAACACACTATAATGATTTTATAATTTTTTTACAATTTTCTTTTTACAATAGGCGATGAATATGAAGATTATCTAAAAAATACATAGTAGTACTCTTGACTTCCAGACTAACGAGATATTTATTTACCTTAATTCATACTACGTGTTAATAAGTTCATCTGTCTCACTAGGTGTATTTCATTTTTTCTTTTTGATTGGTTCCATTAATTTTGTCGCATATGGTGTTCAGTGATATTTGGATGGTCACGTACACTTTTTCATTCATCTTTTTATTGAATGTTGTCTGTATTATATTATCATATAAATGATTTAGGATGCTTGTTTTTAATTAAAGTGATTTCGATCTCAGATCCGACTAGATGTAAATAGGCTAGATCTAATCGGATTTCAACGATTGTATAACACATAGAATAGATATCTAACATATTGGATCAATTTAGACCACATTAAACTATATCAAACTTAAACATACCAAACTCCGATCAATTCATATTTGATCAGATCAGACCATAACATTTTAATCCAATTAAAAACATCTTTATTGATAAAGGTAATTGTAAATTAATCTCTCCTTGTAACTATATTTTCGTTAAATTAATATGTATACTTCAAATTTCAATTATGTCTTCTTATAAGTTAATAACTTTGTGATCAAGTTTAAACTTGTATATTGTAATGAATACTTTCCAAAGACGAAGGGCCCCACCTTTTAAAACTCGACCAACACGATGTTGATTCCACATTACGGCCATATATTTTATATTGTCTCATATCAAATTTGATAATAAAGTTTGTGTGGTTCTAAACCATTTTTCCTTTATTTTTACTTTATCAGTTCAATATCAACCACATAATTAAATCTATCTTTCGTACTAATCGTGTCACTTTCTCATGTCCCGATGCTAGCTGGACAAAGGAAGTAATATTTAAGGAAAAAACTATTACATAAACATCTAATAAAAAATACAACAACCTCCAAATCTTAATGTCAATTTTTTGAGGTCAGCTTACATGAGTCAATATATGACTTCGGAGCCAAAACGAAAACAAAGATAAGAACAATAAAAAAGTAAGATATGATAAAAAGATAAAAAAAATATAAAATAGAGAATATATACTCCGTATAAATGATTATAAAAAGAATATCTTTTCTAAAGTTTATAAATGCAATATATGTGTCATATGATAGATCATAAAAAATTATTTAATTCTATATATTTTTGTAAAAATTGGGGAACAAATGAAAATAGTACGTTGTATAACATTTTATAGAAAATCATTGTTAGACACATTAAAAAACACAATTTTTGCACTTCAATTTAAATCTGTTCATCAAACAAAATTATTAGAAGTGATTAATGGGGTTTGTTTTTAATTTTAAGGGACTATTATACGGTCCCAATTCCCAATGAAAAATTTGTTAAAAAAATAAGGGAAAACTGTCAAATAAGTCCTCGAACTTTCATAAAAAAGTCAATTAAGTCCTTTTATAGGAGACTCTGTCCGGTCGTCGCGATTTGGGGCGGTTTCGGTGGAATTTTTTGATGAAATTTTTTGAGCATCTTATTCATCAAGTTTAGTTTACTCATACCAAATTTCAGCTAAAAATTAAATCGGAAGCGCATTCAAATTAATTAGAGAACGCAAAAATGCGCAGTTATCTTCAAGAATTAATTTGAATGTGTTTCCGATTGAATTTTTAGCTGAAATTTGGTATGAATAAACTAGACTTGGTGAATAAGACGATCAAAAAGTTTCATCAAAAAATTCCACCGAGAACTGCTTTAAATTGCGACGGTCGGACAGAACCTTCTATAGAAGAACTTAATTGACCTTTTTATGAAAGTTAGAGGATCTCACTTAAATACCCTCCAAAACCACATCTCTAATAAGGGGGAATAATGTTCTAGCGAGGTTATGTGGTGCGCCTAGCATTCCCCTAGTATTTTTATTATTCTCTCCCACTTAAATACCCTCCAAAACCACATCTCTAAAAGTGCCTTTTAATTTCCTTTACTGGCCACCCTCTGTTTCTTCTTCTTCACTGGAGCTGTACTGCTCGGAAGCAATAGATTGATACAAAGGAATGGACACTATAAAGAAGCAAGCAGCCAAGCTCAGAGAGCAAGTGGCCAAGCAGCAACAGGTATGCATAGTTAATTACTTTCGCAGTAAAACTTCATCTTTTTAAAGTTTTTTTAATCGAAGTTCCTTTCGTCTTAGTTTTGATTTGATTCAGCAAACCCCCTTTATAGATTTCCACTGTTCGGTGAAATCCTTAAAAGGAACAGCTTTAGTTAGGGCTATTTATAAATTACTTCAAATTTATTTAGAATATCCTGTAAAATCCTTAAAAGAATCAGCTTTAGTTAGGGCTACTATAAATTTATACGCATATATATCAGGGCCGGCTCAATAGATTAGGAGACCCGGTGCAAATCAACCTTAAAAAACCAAAAAACTACAACCAAATGTGAGATTGGTAGATGCTCATGTTTTTGAACTTGAACAAATAAAATCAGTAAAAAAATCTAAAATCGGAAATAAACGAATCAAAATAGGATAAGAAAAGTGAATATTTTACCTTTGGTTGGATGACCTGAATAGTTAGATCGTTCCAGACTTCCAGCAAATCAAGTAATCAACTATTTTCAAAAAGAATCTCTGATAGAATAAGTGAATAACCCTAATGTGTATTGCATGTGAGAAGTGAAGAAAGAGAAACTGGTAAATCGTGCAAATGCCGAATTACGGACTTGTTATGGAAATTAGAAGGATTATTTAACTTGTGAGAACAAATATACCCTTGTTCTATTTTTCCGAACAAATATACCCCTGAAGTATATGTACAGGTGCATATATACCACTGGACTTTTAAAAAGGTGCAAAAATACCCCTCATATTCTTATAAAGGAGCAAATATAATTGTTATTGACTTGAAATTGATAAAATAAATTTCAAAAAACACCAAAAACAAATTAAAAATTCGAAATTAAAAAATTAAAAATTTTAAAATTGTACTTGTGGTGTCCAACTCTCCCCTTTATTTTTTGTATATCATAATTTAATATTGTTAGTATAAAATATTATTTCAAAACATTACTATATATTTAAGATTCTTTAAAAAAAGTGTTAACATATGTGTTGCAATGTAAATTTTTTATTTTATTTTTTGCATTCTTTGCACCATAAAAATTACATATTTTGTATGATGATATATTCCGAGATTACAAAATAGTGAATTTAATTTTATTAAGGTTAAACAAAATCAAAGAATGTTATTTCAGAAAATGTATCAATGTGTTTAAATTTTGCAACAAGACTAAAATTAAAAGTAATGAGTTTGAAGTGCTTCATTTACAACGGAAAAATAATAATTTTGCAATTTAAAATTAAAGAGTTAATATTTTAACAGTTAATAAATCTTTATTTTTAAATTTTGAATTTATAATTTAGTTTTTTTGTTTTTTGAAATTTATTATATCTATTTAAAGTCAATAAGGGTGAATTTGCTCCTTTATAAGAACATGAGGTTTTTTTTTGCACTTTTTAAAAGTTCAGGGGTATATATGCACTTCAACGTATACTTCAAGGGTATTTTTGTTCCGAAAAATAGAATAGGGGTATATTTGTTCTCACACGGATACTACATGGGTATATTTGTACCTTATCCCTTTTTTCATTTAATTGAATATGGAAATTGGAAGAGTTCTTTAATCATCCGTTTGCTTTTGTTTCAGTTAGGCTGTTCGTTCCCTTACATTTTAATGTGTTTCCAATTAAAATCCAAACGTCTCTTATTATTAATATATACTTATACACTAAACAATTACTCCCTCCGTGCCATTTTGGTTGCCTTACTTTCCTTTTTGAGAGAGAGAGAAAGGACAATTCATGTCCAGCCGGCCTGACTGGAACCGTCGTCCAGTCGAGGTCGTTTGGGCCTTGGGGCCCTTCCCCGTGAATTTTTTTGAACATGTTGTTCATCAAGTCTATAATTATAGCTATAAGTCGTAGTAATAATAATAATAATAACGATAATAATAATGATAATAACAACGATAGTAACAACGATAATAACAACGATAATAACAACGATAATAACAACGATAATAACAATGATAACAAGAACAAGAACAACTCAACAACAACAACAATAATAATAATTAAAGTGATAAATCATGTTTGAACTTTTCTTATATGATTTGAACTTTTCTTATTTGATCTGAATGCTCTGATCTGAATCTTTCTGATCTGATCTGAATGTTTCTGATCTGTTTTGAATCTTTCTGATGTGACCTGATGTGAATAAATAAGAATAAATAACAAGTAATAAGAATAAGACGAACATAACAACTTCTAAGTCTTCATTACAATATTGCACGGGTTGCTCAACTCTGCTGTAACAACAACAACATCCAAGCTTAGTCCCAAAAGATATTGGGGTCGGCTAACATGAATCGATACATGATATCACAATCAAAAGGAAAAGAAGGAATAAAGATAAAAAGATAAGCTATTATGAAAAGATAATATAAAAAAGATGAATATATATAAAAATGATAAAATAAAAAGGCTGCAAATAATGCTTATATATATAAGGATAAAAAAAAACTAGGAAAAAAAAGATGAGGGAGCTCAACTCTGCTGTACAAAACATAAAAAAGAATGGGGTGATGTTTTGATGGTTCATAAAGAAAAGAGTTAAAATTAATTCAACATTTGAAATTGAATTTCTATGGTCTATCTACAGTGAAATTAAATTGGTGACCTGATCTAAGAGTTCATATTAATACATGATACTAGTGAACTAAAAATGTGAACTTAATCTTTGGTTAAAACTGAAGTTGTTCTTACCAAATCTCTTCAGGCACGCGTGATGATATCTTCTCCCTTTGTAAACTTATATCAAAATATAGACTAAGGCATCCAAATGACTCTACACCTAGTTCTATGAGTCTATGAATTTTCTCTTTGGCTAGACAATTATGAGGCACTTGGGTCAGCTGGGGCATGAAGCTTTGATGGTAGATGAGTCTGAACTACAGTGTCACCAACAACTTGAGAATTTATACAGATCCACTAGGGATGCAAAGGTAAGTAAGTAAGTTTACTCAGGGCTAGTGTTTTTTTTTCTCTTCCAATTTTTATCTCATAAATAGTGTATGTCTGTATGCTGGTACTTACATTACAGCTATATTATTTTGTTCCAACAGCATTTTCAGAGGGATATAGTTCGAGGCATAGAAGGATATATATCGACAAACAAAAAACAAATGCATATAGGTGTGCAGATTTGTTTACTTTATGCTATATCATACCTTGTGAGTTTCATTCTTCTAACTATTCAGGACTTTCAATGGGGACATTATCAAATATAGAATGAGTTAATCAAGCTGGATTAATTATCGTTTTGGGATTAACAGATAATTAGAACTAATTGTTTTTGGACTCCCTATTAAGGATCTCTTTATATAGTACTTCATAAAATATTATAATTACTTCTTCTCCTCATAAGAAAACAATCAACCGTTGGCTGAGGCCAAAAGATGCATTCTTCGAAACTCTTTTATTACTTTGTTCTATTTAATAAGTTGACTTTATTTTCACGAGCCTCTTTGCTCTATCAATTGGATTCCACATCTAGATTCATTATGGCTGTGTTTGCAACAATGGCGGATCTAACACCTGAGTTTTGGGTGTTTGAAATTATTTTACAATTAAAGTTTTGAATAATAATATTTTTTGATCAAATAATACTACACATAAATCTTTTCAACAACAATAAAATAGGTAATTGAAGCTAAAATCAAGAAAATCCGTATTAAGTAAAGTAAAATAATTTATTAAATCAATTCTAAACATGCATTTTTGTACTTTTACTTTAAAGTTTTGGGTATTCTCATCAACACCTTTAAACACATATAGGTCCTCCACTGATGTTAGCATTTCAAATTTGAATTATGTGTGTAGTTAGAAAGCTGGCTGAGGATTCTTGCAATTACGGGATTGAATGTGCATGTAATGCTCCTCTTCTTGCAAAGGCCACTTCTAACTTTGGTGCCTCACATACTGTGATTCAAGACCAAAAGGAAATTTTACTTGGAATTCTTGGACAGCAGGTTACTTTTATCTCCGTTTTGCAATGTTACTTCCAATCGTCACAATTAGCAATTAGCAGCATAAGGGTTTACTTTATACTTTCACAGGAGAAAAGAGCTTCATTCTTAAACATCAAACTTCTGAAATCTGAATTCCTTTCTTGCATTGTATTACACTCAATAATAATAATAATAATAGTAACGATAATAATAATCTACCAAATAGGTTTCAGAGCCACTTCGTGCATCAATAAGTGGTGCTCCTTTAGAGGATGCTCGTCATTTGATTCGCTGTTATGATAGGATGCGCCAGGAGCTTGAATCCCAGGTAATATATGTTCTCAGCCAAAAAACTGTCTTTGTGAGGGATCACAAATTTAGATCCAGTTTGGTAATTCCTAAAATGGATGAAGTGGATACTGGATACATTTACTGAAGCTGTGATTCAATCTGTTGAAATGCCCAAAAAATTAGATCATATTTTTTTAAATAAATCAATGAAATTATTTCTTAAAGTGAAGGTTAAAGGTCATTTTATTGAGTTTCAGTCATTTAGGAAAAAAGAAACTCATACAGTACCATTTTTTAATATTAGCTGATTTGGCCCAGTGAAATTAGTATGTTTTTGGAGAAAAATATGCTTATAAGCCAAATATGGGCATACCAAACGGGCTCTTAGTATGTATCTTTCTGATATGATACCCCCATTTTCTCTCTCAGGCTGCTGAAGTAATAAGACGACAATCAAAGTTCAGAGATGCTTCTTCTGAGAGTTTAGGGAAGCTCAAGGATGCTGAAATAAGGTTGAGTGAGCTTAAAACCTCCATGTTGGTTCTTGGGAATGAAGCAGCTAAGGCCATGCTAGCTGTAGAGGAGCAGCAGCAGCAGACAACTTACCATAAGCTACTCAAAATGGTATTTCTTTTTTGTTTTGTTTTAGAAGTGTTAATGTGCACTATGTGAAGCTTTCTGTGATTTCTTAATTCTTATTGATAGAGCATATATGAAAACAAGAAAAATCCTATATTTATAGGACATTAGTTCTAAGAAAAGAGGCATATGAGAAGTGTCTGTCCAAAAATTTTAGGTGACTTTTAGACACTGAACAAACTTAATCACTTATAAATTGAGCATAAACTAGTGATAATATTAATTACAAACTAAGTAGACACTTAAAGAATTAAGACTCATAATTACGAAGATAAAAAAGAAACTATTTCCTAGAGTATTGATGTCTGTTTGGTATGGATCTGGATACATCAACACTCCCTCTCCCCAGCGTAGATATCCTTCATGCTTAGCATGATGATAAGACCCTGAAATCTAGAACCGTAAAGAGGCTTGGTAAACTCATATGCAATTTGATCTTATGAAGGAGTGAGCTTAGTTCAATCAGACCTCCTTCAACCTTCTCTTTCGATGATGTGCCGGTTAATCTCTATATGTTTAGTACAATGATGCTGGATGGGGTTATGGGCCATGTTTATTGTTGATTTGTTATCACACCCCAACTCCATTGGTCTTATCCATCTAATTCATAATCAGAGAGAATAATCGTGATCCATAAAAGTTCACACAGGTCATGGGAAAGTGCTTTAGTGCTTTTAGCTTAAATTCAACAAATGGTCGTGCCACAACATTCTTCTTCTTGCTTCTCCATGTCACGAGGTATCCTGGAAAAACACAAAAACTAGTAGTTGATCGGCAGTAAACGAGAGGGCCACCATAATCTGTGTTGAAATAGAGCATATAAACTAAGAAATAATATTGGAAAGGAAATGATTTTCTGTATTTTGATTGAAGGGTTAAGGCTCTGTCTCTATATATATAGATTACAAAGATGAAATATTCCTATATAAGATGCTATCTTTATATAATATAAAGTAGCAGAGTTGCTACCATATTTGGAGGTAAAAATCCCGCCCAATTTAAGGGCATAATTGGAAATCTTTTTGCAAAATTTTGATTGACCGTCAAAGTTATTCTTTCAAAGGTATGGAGTATTAATTTGTACGTGCAGAATATATCTTTCCAAAGTGAGTGTTATCCATAAATGCAACCATGCATGTAATTAAAAATTACATAATTAATTAATATTTGCTCATATTTATGGAATGCACAGTAGTCGTATATATCATGTGTATAAAGTTCCATCACATTTTAGTATTTTACAACTATAAAACCACACATAAATTCGGAATCCCTACTAAAAATAATTTGAGTAGGAATTCACATTTTATAAATTTTATTTCTTGAAACACAACCATATATAGCATTCCTACTAATAAAATTCAAATTAAAATTCACAACGCTTAATTCGGCCACGAATAAAATTACCCATCTCTCATTAAACATTGTCATTTTTGGGTTGAGTGTGAAATAAGAAAAGTAAAAAAAGCGTGATTAAGATTGTGCCGGTGCGACTAGGGAGTACTGTAAAAAGAGGCTAGTTCATTGATTACTTTAAATCTAAAGTGATAGGGTTTTTAGGACAAATTAAAAAGGAATGATGACAAAGTACCGGTGCGACGGTGGAAGTACAATATTTCAATTAAGTTCAATTTTGTTGAAATTAAATCAATGCATATACAATAAAAAAACCATTCATATTAGAACAATCAAAGTTCTTTTGATTCACAACGCAAATAAAAACAGTGAATTATCTCAATGAAATTGAACTAGAGTCTATCTAATAGATAGTTCATGAAGTATATGTGTAATCCGGCATGAAGTATATGTGTAATCCGGCATGAAGTATATGTGTAATCTGGCTGTGTTGAACGTCAATACACTCCACAACAGAATGGGCGAGTTGAACGTAAACATAGACACATTTTGGAGGTTGCCCGTACTCTGCGATTTCATGCACATTTACCTATTCAATTTTGGGGTGAATGTGTATTGACGGCCTGTTACCTAATCAATCGATTGCCATCATCTGTTTTGGATTATAAGAGTCCGTATGAACTCATATATGATAAAGTGCCCAAATACGATCAACTACGCGTTTTTGGATGTCTCTGCTATGCTCATAATCATGGAAAAAATCGGGATAAATTTGACTCACTTAGAATAAAATGTGTTTTTGTCGGATATGCCTACTCTCAGAAGGATGGAAATTATTTGATCTGGAAAAACACATTTTTATTGTATCCCGAGACGTGACCTTTGTTGAAGATTCTTTTCCATATGCACCTGGAGCACATGAAATCTCTTCACAGCAGGATAAGGAAGTGGGACCTTCTGATCTTATCCCTATCACACATTTTCATGCAAATGAGGATGAGGATATCACTTTGGGGTCAAGCAGCCAAATGACTCCACACGTATCAACTTTCCACCACACTGGGACCGAACAAAATAATAATGCAGAACATTCTTCTACTTCCCAAGCTACGGACGTGGCTGATCATGCTGAGACACGTGGCAGTCAAAAACATGAAGACGCAAGCTCGACTTCAGGGGATCAAATGCCAGAATTGCATGCACGACGTAGTACACGCTCGCGGAAGGCACCGGTTTGGCAGAAAGATTACGAGGTGCAACTCAATACTATGAAAGTACACACTCCGCCCGTTTTTCACACCAAACCAACGATTGAATCAGATAATCCTTATCCCTTATCTCATTACGTAAATTATAATCATTTTTCGGTACACCATCGTGCCTTCCTTGCAGCAATTTCATCACACAAGGAACCACACACTTTTCACAAGGCAGCGCGTGACCCACTCTGGCGGGCAGCCATGCAACGAGAACTTGCGGCTTTGGAACGGACAGGCACATGGAGAATGCAAGATCTACCGCCCGATAAGAAACCTATTTATTGCAAATGGGTCTATAAAATTAAGTACAGAAGCGATGGTACCGTTGATCGGTACAAGGCCCGTCTAGTGGTGTGTGGTAATAGACAAGTGCAGGGAATAGACTACGACGAGACCTTTGCACCTGTGGCCAAAATGGTTACCGTGTGCATTATGTTGTCCATTGCTGCTTCTCGAGATTGGGAGATACATCAAATGGATGTGGATAACGCTTTTCTTCATGGCGACCTTAAAGAAGAGGTATACATGCATCCGCCTCCTGGTTATTCTCCTTCTGAACCTGGACAGGTGTGCAGATTACTTCATTCTCTCTATGGTTTGCGCCAAGCACCCCGTTGTTGGTTTTCCAAGTTAACCAGTGCTCTTCTCACTTATGGATCTCGTCAGTCCCATGCTGATTATTCTTTATTCACTCTTCATCGAGGGGGACATATCTTGTGCATATTGGTGTATGTTGATGATTTACTTATCACAGGTTCTAATCCTGTGATGATTTCCATTTTTAAAACATACTTAGCTAACATATTTCCTGTCAAAGATTTGGGGCACATGAAATATTTTCTTGGGCTGGAAATAGCAAGAGGCAAGAAAGGATTCTTTTTATGTCAATGCAAGTATGTTTTGGATATTCTTGATGAAACATGGTTAACCGGAGCCAAGCCTGCAATGTTTCCTATGCCCCAAAACCACGGACTTCAGGCTGATGAGGGTCCATTTTTTCTGGAACCCGATCGCTATCGACACTTAGTGGGCAAGCTTATATATCTCACACTCACACGCCCCGATATTAATTATTCTGTGCATATTCTTTCTCAATTTATGCAAGCACCTCGACTTGCGCATTGGGATGCTGTTATACGGGTTCTTCGCTACCTCAAAAATCATCCTGGTCAGGGGGTTCTACTTAGACGTCACTCATCTCTTACTCTTGTTGGCTATTGTGACTCCGATTGGGCTAGTTGTCCCACTACGCATCGGTCAGTTACAGGTTATTTTGTCACACTTGGGGGCTCTCCTATTTCTTGGAGGACGAAGAAGCGGGCTACGGTATCACGTTCGTCTGCTGAAGCTGAGTACCGGTCCATGGCAACACTTGTGAACTACTCTGGCTCAAAAGTCTTCTTTCTTCGTTACGTATTGGTCTTCCCCCAATTCGGCTTCTGTGTGACAATAAAGCTGCTATTCACATCGCATCAAATCCAGTGTTTCATGAACGCACTAAACACATTGAGCTGGATTGCCACTTTATCCGTGACCATGTGCGTTCTGGTGTGATCATTCCCTTCACACATTTCTACCACGGAGCAATTAGCGGATTTGTTTACTAAAGCCCTTGGTGCTTCTCAGTTCCATTATTTGCTTGCCAAGATGGGCATTCAAGACCCCCATGCTCCATCTTGAGGGGGGGTATTGGAGGACACGTGCGCATGAAACCATACATATTCTTCTTGATAAGTTTTGTATCATTTATTGTACGTTTCTTTTGTAACCCAGTACACAAAATGTCCAACCGTTTGTACATGTATTGGGATAGGACTCTTCTTTATGGCTTTTGGGTTACGTAGCTTTAGGAGAGGATAGAAAAGCATGCAGTATATATTTTCTTGTACCATTGTCTTGTAAATCAACTTTTGTGGAGATACGAATACAATTCCTATTGTATCTCAATTCCTAATTTATCTCCTTCCCAACCTCCTTTTTGGATTGCCAATGAAGAGAGCTATGGTTCCAGATTACTTGTTGAATAGCTTCACTATGAATGTTCAGTATACCCCACAATGTTCTAGCAGCTGTGATTCCCTTCCCAGTTTTTTGTTTTAAAGATAGATCCACGAGGTGCCCTATCTGGGAAACAACCATCACAACCGTCTGAAAAGTAGAATCCAGTTCCATATTGAGTCCATCCCACTGATATTCAAAATCAATCTCATTAGCCCAGCTCAATCCAGAATCTGAGGAGCCCCAGACTAGAAGCTTGTCAATCTTGTTTTCTGATAGAATGCTTTCTAGCATAATTGAAGCATCAGGTGAAGAGCTTAATGACTGCTGCAATGACACTGTCAGTCGACCAGTTTCATTATTAACTGAGTC